CACCTGGCTGGCTTGGTTGAGCGAGTGACTCCTGATTTCAGCTCAGGTTATGATCCTAGGATCGTGGGACTGGGCCTCACATCAGGCTCTGGGCTGAGCACGGAACCTGTTTGGGATTCTTTCTCCCTCTTGGGAGAGAGAGAGGGGGGCTTGCATTTCTACAGTAATGAAAATAGTTTGGTCCTGGCATAAGAACACATTTAGACCAATAGAGAACAATGAGTAGAACAGAGAGCCCAGAAATAAACCCTCACGTACACCCTGATCTTAGACAAGGGTGCCAACACCATTCGGTGGTAGAAAGGGCAGTGTTTTCAACAAATGGTGCTCGGAAAACCAGATATCCACACGTGGAAGAATGAAGTCAGGCCCTTACCTTCCACCTTATGCCTAAACATAAAAGCTAAATAAAACTAAAAGACATGGGCAAAAGCAGGGAGAAAGTTTCATGACCTTGGATTTGTCAGTGATCTCTATGGAGATGAGAAGGTCAGCCAACAAGAGGAGAGAGAAATAGGCTCCATCAAATTACCACTTATAAGCATCACGGACATAACAGTGAGGAGGCAACCTTCACAATGGGGGAAAGATCTTCAAGTCACATACCTGTAAGGAGTTCGTATCCAGAATATAGACAGAACTCCTGCAACCAGACAACAAACACGCAGCTTCACTAAAACATGGGCAGAGGACTTGAACAGACCTCTCTCCAAACACACAGATGCCAGCAGACACATGAAAAGATGCTCAACATCACTCATCATCAGGGACACGCAAATCCAAATCAAACCACCACCTCATGCCCATTAGGATGGTTATTGTGCAGGAGCAAAACAGCTGCCTCAGAAAAGGACAAGTGTGGGATGAATGTGGAGAAACTGGGTCACGTGTGTGTCGCTGGTGGGGCATGAAATGGCTCGGACACCGGACAGCACTTCCTCAAAACAGGAGTAACACAGAATTGGCATCTGATCCAGCAATTCTGCTTCGGAGTGTTTTCCAAAGGAGTGAAAGGAGAATCTTAAACTTTTATTTTTTTAACATTATGTATTTTTGAGAGAGCGTGCACGTGGGAGAGGGGCAGAGAGAGAGAGACAGAATCCGAAACAGGCTCCAGGCTCAGCTGTCAGCACAGAGCCCGACACGGGGCTTAAACTTGTGAACTGCAAGATCATGACCTGAGCCAAAGTTGGACGCTTAACCAACTGAGCCACCCAGGCACCCCAATCTTGAGAAGACTTTTACACACCCATGTTCACAGCAGTCAGAAACTGGAAGCCACCCAGTGTCTGTCAACAGATGAACAAAACAAAGTGTGGCCCATCCACGCAACAGAACATTACTTCGAGTCAGGAAACTCACACCCGCCACAACACGGTGGACCTCGAGGACATTATTTTCAGTGGAACGAGCCAGCCACAAAGGGACAGATGCTGTGTGATTCTAGGTATAGTATGTATCCAGGGTAGGCTATCCATGGACACAGAGTAGATGGTGGTGCCAGAGGCTGGGGATCAGAAGTCAGAGTTTAATGGGGACAGAGTTTCAGTCTGGGAAGGTGGAAAGTTCTGGAAGAGGATAGTGGTGGCAGCTGTACAATGTGGATGTACTTAATGCCCCTGGACACTTACCAGTGGTTAAGATGATACATTTTGTGTATATTTTACCAAAATTAAGGTGTTGAAAATGACACTGGAGTTTTCTGCATAGATTGAACAGTAGACAAGTGGTTATATTTACCTGTGCAAATTCCTCAAAACGGCTACCAAATAAAAGTTATGTTTTCACTCCAAAAACCGAAACAACAAGGCGAGAAGGTCCCTCCCATCTGACGTGGCAGGTCGCATCCTAAGCAGAAGAGCAGCGTTGGTTGGAGGAGCCGCCTTCCCAGGGAAATGTGACCCTCGTGACCCGGAGGGCTGCGTCCTGGCTCCTCTCTGGCCGAGGGCTACAAGCCCGGTTCTCGGCTGCGACGCTCCCTGCGGGCTCGGCCTGACCCTGCGTGAGAGGGCAGGACGGCAACCGACACATGGTGGGTCACCCACTTCTTCCAGTGCGGGTGGCCTGTGGGCCACCTGCCACCATGCTGCCCACACGCCAGGCACCCGTGCAGTACAACAGACGGGCGAGGGTGCATGGAGAACCAAGCAGAAACAGGGACTGTCAGCCCAGAAGGTGTTGGCAGGCAGGTGCCCAGGGCAGGCAGGGCCGGATGGCCTTCCTCATGCCTGTCCAGACCCTCTGATGGGTCACTGCGCAGTGTCTGAAGGTGCCCGAGGTGGGGAGGAGGGAGTGGGGTCGAGCATAATTTGCACACACAGCTCCCAAAGGAAGTAATGTTATGTTTCATAAACCATGAGATCTTTTGCTTTTCTTTTAAAAAAAAATTTAATGTTTATTCACTTTTTGAGAGACAGCATGAGCGGGGAGGGACAGAGAGAGGGAGTCACTGAATCTGAAGCAGCTCCAGGCTCTGAGCTGTCAGCACACAGCCTGACACGGGGCTCGAACTCACGAACTGTGAGATCATAACCTGAGCCGAAGTCAAACACTTAACCAACTGAGCCCCCACCCCAGGCACCCCAATCTTCTGCCCCTTAAAACTGGTTTTCAGAGGGCACGTCACTGGCGGTGACTGGGGAGAAAGTGTGCCGGCTGGTGCTGTAGTGCAGGCTGCCCGGGAGAGGAGCTCTAGGCAAACGTGCAGACCCAGGCGGCCTTCTCCTCTGACAGGGAGCAGGTTCTCCAACAGGGAAGCTTCTCAGTTACCATGACTCACGTGGCGTTCTACCCAACGTTTAAGGGAGAATTAACATGAGTCCTTCACAAACCCTTCCCCGAAAGAGCAGCTGGACCACTTTCAGGGCAAGCTCATTCTCAGAGGCCATCTTCACCCTGGTGCCCAAGCCAGACAGCAGAACAACATGCAGACTGAGGCCTCTTACGAAAAACCCTGCGTCTGACACCAGCACACCCAACCAACCATGTAATGAGGGTGTCAGCTCACAATGCAGCTGGCGTAATGCACACAGATCAAGCACTGCGGGTGCCTGGTGGGCTCAGTCGGCGGTGTTGAGTCGGAGCCCCGCACTGAGAGTAGGGATTACTTATAAAAAATTCTTAATCAATGTGATAGACAAATAGGATGAAGGATGAAACCACATATCTCAACAGATGCAGAAAAAACAGCTGACAAAGTCCAATATTCTTACGATTTAAAAAATCCCCAAAAACTAGAACTGGAAAGTTCACCCTCAACCTGATAAAGGTGTCTGCAGAAAGCACACAGCTGACCTCGCCGTCACCCTCAGAGGAGAGAGACGACAGACTTCTACGCCCTGCTGTTAACCTGGCAGCTCCGGTCCTGACCCCAGTGCTGAGGATGTGGACTCGTGGGCCACCTCTCGTAAGGAATCTGTACAACTGCTCTAGGCCGAGTCGGGCTCAGCAAGGTCACAGGACACAGATGGACACAGTCAGATCCTCAAATATGGTCTTACGGCAGACCAAGGCCCAACAGCCATCGGCGCCACCTGCTGCACCGTGACAGGGGCCACCTTGGTCCTACGTGTCCACTCTCGGCTGAGAAACATCTTTCTGTGCCTTGAAACAGGCAAAGTGGGGCTGCATCTGGATGGGCTTCCCGGACTGACAGTGCCCACGGGGCTCACCTCGTGCATGCCCCATCTCGGGACCAAAGGCACGTGAGACTTACCGTGGGGTCTCCAGCTGTCCGTGCCCTCACGTCTCGCCATCCCCTGCTCTGGCAGGCTCTCCACAGACCGGAATTCAAAAGCATCTACGTTCCAGGGTGTGGATTTATGACCATTCTGCGCCTCACCCCATCCTGCAGATGACTAATGGGTGCCTCCACGTGGCTGCTGCTGCCTTTGTCTGTGGCCTCGACTCCATGTCTTCCTGGACACGGCTGAGACAGCCGCTGGCTCGGCCGGGCCTCGGCCTGGCACATCCCAGGTCTGGGTCTGACCACATCCACTGCACGGAGACAGGCTGTGTTCCTGTCCCTGCAACACCATCACTGTTGTTTGCGGAAAAGAGCCCAAACTTTGATATCTTCTTAAGAAATTAATACAAAAGGCAACAGGCACAAGGTACACGTTAGGTCAGTGACCAAAAGCAGAACCGAAAGGCCAATAAAGACAAGGAAATGCCACTGTGCCTCGTCCTTCCCTTGGGAAGAGCGCCAAGGGAACCAGACGTGGCGGTGGCCGTCCTCAGGGACTCGACACCGTCGTCTCCGGTTGTGACAATTTCTGTCCACAGGACCAGTCTGAAAATGTCCTTAGACACGTTCATCTTGAGGTAATGGACTGCGCATCCCCGTTACTTCTGTTCAGAGCAAACACCAGAGGCAGAGCCCACAGGGCCTGACGACAAAGACCCATCTGGATGGTGCTAAGCAGCCAATGAAAACCATGCTTTCAAAATGCTGATGAGAAAACGGCTGCTTGTAAAGTGAAAATGGTAAACGGGAGGCTCACACTCCATGAGAAGCTCCTACCCGAGAGGCAGCGGCACATCCCGTGGGGAGCAACCATGTCACAGCACAGAACTTGTGCCCCCAGCGTCAGGACACAGGACAGGACACTGAAAACGCAATATCTTATAAGTATGCAAAACCGCAAACCAGGTAAACACGCTCGGCAGAAAAAAAACACCAAAGGACAAAGTAGAAGGGATTTTGCATGGGGGCCTAGGGGATGCCTGACGCTACTGAAAGATCAGAACCCACAATGCATTTCCAGTAGCTGCTGGGGGCAGGGGGGGCGGGGCAGGGTCCTTTCTAGTCAGAGAGCTGTTCCCTCTGGGGGCAGGATTATGAGGGATTTTTTATATTCTTTTATCACACCTTTATTTTCAAAACTATCTAAAATAGACATGCATTATTTTAAAAATAAGGCAATCTTTTTTTAAAGGTTTACCTAAATGACGTCAAAATCACTCCTGCTTTTCCAGAAAGATGAGAAATGGAAGCTCCATCAGTAGACAAACGAGATTTATTACTGTCTGTAGGAGCAGTTCCAGTACAGGGCGGCTGAGGCCAAGGGCTGCCCCTCCTCCTCCTCGCCGTGGCCCATGCTCCATGGCCGGCCGCTGCCCCCACAGTTCGCCAGCAGCAGCCCGCCACCCGCCTCTGCCGGCCACAGAGTCGTGCAGGGTTCACAGCCCGACCACCGAACACAAGAGACGCACACACATCTCCTGAGGTTCACTGCACAGAGGGCTCCCTTGGGTACAGCCAATGCAGTTAAAATACACGTGAAGAAAAATAAATATTCTGCACCTGGTTTTGACAAGGCCCACGTGCTCTGTCCCCTGCCCCTCATCACTACGAGATCAGGAAACTGTCACTGGACAGTTAAGAAGCACAGCACAAGTTAGTGTCAGCTCAGCACACAACGTGGTGTGAAAAATCCAGAACCTCACTGAACCATATTTATAAATCTGCCAAGTTGCCAATTTTAGTAGACTTGGATGAAAAGGATTTTCTAGAGGAAAGAGAAGAAGTGCTTTTGCTTGGGTTCCCTGACCCCCTTCGAGACTGAGGCCAGCCCTGCAGCCCCGGCCACGCGGGGGGCGTCCTCCACGTCGTCCCGCCACAGCCACGGCACCTCAGAAGCGGAACAGGTCGATGAAGTGCTGTGGAGACACGGGCATGAAGCAGCTGTCGGGGTCGGCGGCTGTGCAGGGGTGCCCCGAGTCCTGCGGGGGGAGGGGAGGCGTCAGCGCCCAGCAGCTGCCCCTGCACGACGCTGGGAAGTACACAGGCAGTGTGTCAGAGGACCCGGGGTCCGGGGGTCTCTGCCTCCCTGGCCGGGCGCCACACCCTCGGCTCGCAAGCTGCCTCTCTGCTTCCTGCCTGGCCCCTCGGGCCCCTGGGCCACGACTGGCGGCTCGCAGGCAGCATGCAGCTGGGGCCAGCATCGCACGAAACAGGACAGAGGACTACGGGCACAGGCTTCCCGTGGACTGGGGGGTCCAGGCCGGAGGGAGCCCGGGGGCTTGCCGGGGGGCACCTACGCGGGAGAGCGGAGATTTCCCTCGGGCTGAGCCTGCTGCAGGAGCGCTGGCCTGCAGGGTCGTCCCTGAACCCCGGGGGGGGGGGGCGGAGCGAGCAGGAGCCCCGCCTCCGGCCGCAGGCCCCACGCATGCTGGGAGCCCGGGGCCAGCTGGTTGGCAGGGGGCATGCATGGGACCCGACACAGGCCTGGTGTAGCACGGAGGTACCTTGAACAACAAAGCAAGGCGGCAGTCCTTCCAGATGGCAGAGAAAGAACCAGGAGGGGCGGGCGGGGGCGGTGGGGAGAGAAAGGGAAGCAGCATTAGAGCGAGGCGGCAGGCCCCACTGAGCACTGGCTCCGGCGGCAAGTCACCACCGGGTAACCAGAGTGGGCCACACACGATTAAAGGGAGTGTGGACCCCGAGGGCCTCCCGACTTGAAGATGGTCCTGTGACAGTGACAAAGCTGCCCATTTCTGCGTCCGCCTCGGCTGACCGCTCACGAGGCTGCACTGCCCAAGCTCTTCAGGGCTGTTAGCACGCGAAGCAAAGCCGGTGTTTCCACGTACAGTTTGTATGGAAAGGTTCACAACAGGCTTAGGAAAGCCATTTATTCCTTCCCTCACGGCCGAGCACCTACTCTGCTGAATCACATGCAGTAGACCCCACAGGTGCCCAGGGGCCACACGGCCGCCCGCCCGCCACGTGCCAGCCTGGCTGCAGGGACCTGGGCAGCATCAGGGCGTCGTGGCGGTACAGCGCACGAGGCGGCCCGGGAACCTCCTGCACGTGGGCACCTCGGCTGTGATCACTCCCAATCCCTCCCAGAGCCCCGGACCTGCAGTGTCGCCAACACTGGTCCCTACTCGTAATCTGGTCTCTGGTGGCAGACGCACTGAGACAGGTGACGTGTTCCTGACTCCTTGTCCTGGACGGGAACTGGACTCTGGCTCCCAACCGCACCCCCCTCCACCTGACACTGCTCTCCCTGGAGCTGTGGGGGGTCCAGACACTCTGATGCAGAACAGGCAGGAGGAAGGAACAGGGCCGCCCATGGAGGCACTGAGCAAGGGCCCCTGAGACCAGACCCCACGTGGGGACCTGCTCCGATGGCATCAGAGGACACACTGTTGGGGGAGGATGGTTTGTGTCAGTGCTGGGCCCTCACAGAAGCAGGAACCACAGACAGGTCAGTCTGGTCGCCTCATGTGAGGCCCCAACACCTCTGTCCACGAGCACCTGCCGTGTGTGAGACACACAGCCCCCCTCACGCTGTTGTCCGTGCCCTTTAACTGGTGACCCAGGCCTCCTCTCTGCCCACCTGGAGCCCCATTCATCGTCTGACAGACATGAGACTGAGGCAGGGACGGGCCTGCTCACAGATGCTCTGCTCCTGAGGAACTGTGTTCTAGAGGACATGTTCTACAAAACAGCTACTGTCAAACACGTGACATGTTCTATCGTTTCAAGTTCAAGAATGAAGTCCTGCTAAAGTATAAGCCAGTGAACCAGAAATAAGATTGAATGTAACTGGTGCATGGAGGCATCAGGAAGTTTCCATGATGCTATCCACCTTTAAGTAGTAAATAAACCTCCATTAAAATAATATAGCAAGCACCCTCAATGTCATTACGTTGACAGCTCAACCACGGATAATCTAAAATTCCAGAAGTGACACTATCGTAAATATAACATGAAATAAGAAAAATCTCAAGCAGTTGTCTCTTTTCTGACAACCTAGGGATTGCCACGTGATCCACCTAACAAATCACAGGTAGACGTGAACAGATAGGGGTGGGTTGGCCAGGTAGAAGCAGATGGTGGGAGAGCACGAGAGGGCCACGCCACACGCAGGACACACACCAGGTCACCCCCGGCAGGGTCTGCTACCTCCTCCCCAGGGAAATCTCACAAAATAAATACAGTCCCAGATGCAGAGTATCAGCATGTGAGGAAGACAAAGGGCTGCCCAGGGCAGGCGTGACCAGCTCACTGCCACCCGGAGGGCTCAGCAGAGCCCTGGGTCTGCATGGTGGGAGGTGACCAGGTGACAGGCTCCCAGTGCACTGGGTACTCGAGTTCAAGTGTGAGTCTAGAGACTCTGGTCCAGTTTCCATCAGGGAAGTCAGAAAACGCCGTGTGTGTCTGGCAGGCTGTGCCCTCCCTGCTGCGGGGGCTGGGCCTGGAGGGGAGCCTGTGGAGGCATTACAGGGGGGTCCTGGGGCAGCCCTGGTCGGGCTCCACACAGGGGTACAAAGAATGGGGACAGTTCACTCCTGCTCTCAGGGCGTCCAGAACTGTGGGCAGGAGACGAGGTAGGAACTTGGCACCGGCCCAGGACCAGGTGTCACGGGCCCCACTGACCTGGGTACACATCCTGCCACCTAGTCCCCAGCAAAGGCAGAAACACATTCTGATTCAGACCCAAGCTGTATGTTCTACTTCTGTGACTCGGTCCCCCTGCCCCGACACTGGGGAAACACGGTTTTACCACCCTGCCTACAGTGGACAACCGTGTCCGGGACACGGCTGCCCAGACGCCTCACCTTCCAGAAAAGGATGCTGCAGTGCCGGCAGAAGTGCAGGGTGTCCCCGTACTGCTCCCGGGTCGGGTAGTGCTTCTCCAGCACAAAGTACATGAGCTTCCACTCCACATGGCCCTTCTCCGAAACGATCAGGTGTCTACAAAACTGGACACACACAACTCTGCTCAGCACATGGCTTTCACAGATGGTATCAGGTGCAACACGACTGCACAAGGCAGCAGAGGGCAGGACACACCCACTTAACTGAAATTAAAATCACTTGGATCGAATCAGATCAAACCAGGAAAGGGCAGCATCCGAGCCCAGGAGCCCCGTGTGCTCCTGGGTCCCCCCACCATCACAGAGACTGCACCCAAGCCAAGCCCTACCTGCCATCTCCATCCCAGAGAACCTTTTCTTTCCTCCCCCTGGCTTCTCCCATCCTCCTTCCAAAAATTCAACACTCCTCATCTACGCTGACTTTAGAATCCAGGCTTTCTTCCCAACTCAAATTCATCCTGACTTCTTTGATTCTCCTGCAGCAAATCCACCTCAGACCCGTTTCTCTGGGGTCACTGAGGCCTCCGATCAACTAAACCCAATGGACATTTGCTTAGCTGATGGCCCAGAACGTCCAGCACCATGTCTGGTGGGTCCTTTACACCACTGGACTCGGCTGCTAGAGCCGCCTACCTTCAGGCGGATCCCCCTTGGGACCTGCACCAGCTGCCGCTGTGCCTCCTGGGCTGGTCCCCAGGGCAGGCGCCCCGCTCAACCCCCTGCGTCACTCTGGCCCCAGCTCCTCCTCCAGCGGCCATGCTGGCCCCCCGGCCCCTGAGGCGTCCTCACGCACTCCTGCATTCTCCTCCAGAGAGAACAAACAATCTCGCAGAAACCACACTCTGCTCCCAGTGCTTTCGTGGCTCCTCTAAGCCCACTGCAAAAACACCCCCATGCACACCACAACCTCCCCTTTCTCAAGGAGGCCCCCCACGCTGTCCTCCAAGAGTGACGGCCTCCGCTGGGGCACGCATCCAGGACTCTGTCTACTGCCCCCATCCGTCCTCGCAGCAGCCAAACTGCCTCTGATGGGAGGCCTGCTTCCCGACCATCCCACCTGCCCCACACGTGTGTGCGGCTCCCGCTCTGGTCCCGGAGGCGTGACGGCAAACCGCAACGCCCGGCAGGTCACCAGTTCCCAGAACTGGGTCTGAGGGTGTGGGCTGTGGGGACGGGAGCTTGGAGAGCCTCGTGTGGCTGCCAGGCACAAGCTCGGGTTCAGGGGGGTGCAGCGCCTGCAGGGCACGTCGTGCGGCAGAAGCCGGTGGGTGAGGGACAGAAGCCCTGGTGCCAACTGATGACCAAAGAGCCCTGCCTTGTTCTGCCATCTGTGCTGGGTGGCATCCCTCATCACAGGTCCTCCTGATCCTCCCAAACGTGAAAACTAAGCGTCAGAAGCTACAGAGAAGAAAGCACAGGGTCCTGCACAAACTTTGAGGAGCCCTGGCTCTTGCAAAGCGCAGGGAGGGGCCCCCACACTCACCTGCTTTTCCGCAAAGTGATACTGACACAGTCTCTTCCACAGCTGCCGGTCCTCACTGAGCACAGACAGCGTTGGGGTCACCTGGCCCAGGGTCACGATGTCCCAGCCGTCAGAGAATCTGTACAAGATGTTGTTGAGCATGTGCAGCGGGAGATCACTGAGTGTGAGGCCGTCGTTCACCTGCTAGAAGGAACACGGACAGTTCACTGCATGCGTCACACGAGAGCACCAGGCCACAAGGAAGCCCAGTGGCCAAGCCCAAGCAGATGCTCCAAAAAACTCGCAGCCCAAGCACCACCGTCCCTCCCTCTCCGAGGCTAAGTCCTGTGCCACACCAGGCCCAGTGGTCACATCCTCCACCTGTGCAAGATTCATGTCTTCCACATGACACAGATTTGGCTGGGGACTGGGGGGGGTGCTAAGCGTGGAGGGAGGTGGTGGGGACTCACCGGCTGGTCATTGGGGCCCCCCAGCTCAGGTGTCCAATTTCTAATGTAGAAGCCATACCCTCCCTCCCTCCCCTCTGAGGGTGCAGCCCCAGGAGATGGGGTAGAGCTTGTGCACATGCCACGGGGGTAGGGAAGGAGCAGTTGGGGGGAGGGCCCTCGGAGGAGAGAAGAAGAAAGGAAGGGAAGGATGGAAACACCCTGTCTCAGCGTGTCCACCTCCCAGAAAGAACTGCCCACTAGCACATGTGGAGCAGGGTGAGGGTAAGAATAAACAAGTATGCAGAGTCCTGTGGGCTCAGGGACACCTGCACATCTGTGCACGCTCCTCACATGGCTGCGCGGCTGAGAGACTGTCCTTGTCCTCGGCGGTCAGCCCCAGGGACTGCGGCTCCCTCCGGTTTCTGCTCTCTCGGGCAGCCCAGTGCCCTGTGCACGGCGGGGGGGGAGTGCTCCTCGAGTTTGGACCCCAAACCCGCTGGCAGGTGTGGAGAGGGGCCCGGCGAGACGCTGCAGGCCAGGCTGCGGCGCTCTCCGGTGCACGTGCTGTGTCACCGCCCAGCGGCAGTCCTGGTACAGACGGGCATTCCTGGCACTTTGCGGGGACGCGCAAGGATTCCCGTGCTTCTGGGCACGAAGACGAGTCAGAGCACGTCTCTGAGGACATTTCCTCTCATCGGACCTCACTGGGCAGCACTGCACATGCGTGTCCCGCGTTCCTACATCGGCCTGACAAAAGTGCCCCCACCGCCTCTGCACATCACGGCACCCGCAGACGGGCCCGCCAGCGCCGATGGCACGCAGCCGAGAGCGCAGGCGCAGGCCCGCACGCATGCGCTCTGCGGGCGCTACAACGGACTGGGCGGCTCCTTCCGCTCCTGCGCTGCTCCTTCCGCCCTCGGGACCGCCCCGCGCGTCGCACCGGAGCGCGGGAACGCCGGCGGCCTCACAAGGCGCGGGGGACGGCCTGACTGGAGAGGACGGACTGGCGGGCCTGTGAACCAGACGGCACCACATTAGATGCCAGCGCGGGTCATCGGAGCTTCCGAGCGCGCAGACGTGAAGCAGAACAAAAGCCTGGCTGGTCCATCCGTCCGTCAGAAGCCGCGGTGCCTTCGGCTCAGCCACCCCTACCCCCCACGCCCCCCTCCCGCCCCGGCGACTGCTGAGCCACTTCCCACTTGAGCCTGGCAGCCAGGTCCCCACACGGGCAGGACCACGGCTCTTCGCTTCCTGCTCTGGAAGGTCTCCTGGCGCCTCTCACCGCAGGCCCTCAGAGCTGCCCTCGTGCCCACAGGACCCAGGACCCAAATCCGCCCCTGATTTTCTCTCCTCACACCGGCCCCAGAGGTCGCCTGTTCCTGCCACCTTTCAGCAGCGGCGGCCGCAAGGGTGTGCTCCCCACAGGCAGGACACCAGACTCAGGCCCCCTGCCTCTTGCGCCTGTGAGCTGGCCTGACCTGGGATCACGCACAGTCCCCCGCGGTCTCACCCGGGCTGCTTGGGCTCCCGGCACACAGGGACCGCGAGGCAGGTGCCCGCAAACCTGGCCCCGCAGTTCTGAGAGGACGGGAGCATGGATTTAAGGGTCATCACGCTATCTTCTTTCCCGGAACTTGGAAGAGGAGGGCACCGCTGTGCCGCCAGGGACACGGGACACAGCGTCCCGAGGCCGGCGGGGTTCAGCTCCAGGTAGGCTCTGGGACCCACACCGTCTAGGCCCCGGGCACATCCTCGGCTGCCCTTCTCTGCTGGCATCTACACAAGTGCCCTCTAAATAATCAAAGGTGGAGCTCAATGCTTGCAGGTGTGTGGCCTCAACCTGACACCCTGAGGAACTCCCACCATCGAGATCCTGTAACCTTCCCACCCATAAGCCTCCCCGGCACCACCTGCTATGAGGGAACTAGGCCCAGATGTGCCATTGCCACAAGCCACGCAGGCACAGAGGGAGTCCACGGTGAGCTATCAGGACAGGAGTGGACGTGACCGTGCTGTCACTTGAGATGCCAGTCCCTCCGTTTCCTCCCTGGTGAAAGTGATCTTGGGGACCAGCGCCATGAAAGCTAGCTCTGAGCTGGAGCGGGGCGCAGGCCAGAAGGGTGTCCCACCACAGCCCCCACCCACCCTGGGCCTCCTCCAAGCTGCTGTACAAGACAGGAGGACCCACTAGGAGGCAGGTGCCTTCTCGGTCCCGCTAGTGGCTAAGGCCTCTGCCTTCTTCCCGTCATGATGCGATGTGTGTCGGCCCAACTATATGCTTGTCCGTCCTCCTGCCCTGAGGCTGCTGTCATGCACGCTTATCTTTACACATGCACAGCAGCGGCCCTGCCTGCAGCTCCCTTTCTCCGGGTCCTCGCCTCAGACCCCTGCTGGCTGCCCTCCCCCCGCTCACTAGCTCAGGCGGCACCACCGGGCTGGTCAGAGACTAGTGGGGCACGGGTGTGAGGTCTGGCCACTTGTGCGAGGCTTCCACACAGCGTGCATGTCACTCTCACAGGCGGACTTTCCGGTCACAGCCCTCAGCCATGGCGGACGCGGGAGCTGCTGCACAGATGATGCTTCCGTCAAGTCTGCTGAGCACGCACATAATTACCGACACTGAACGTAAGAGGATCTGTTGCAACTTCAAGCCATAATTAGGTAACCTCTACTCTTTCTGTAAATCCCATATGCAGATGGCAAATAAACGGCCCAAAGTTCAGGTTTTCCACCTCACTTCTGAGAGTGGTCACCTTGGTGCAGTGCCTCGGCGCACTGATGGGAGGGGACCTCAGCCCCACCAGAAGGGTGGTCTGGATTCATCACCTCCTGGGCCCCACGGGACATTCCATCTACTCTTTCCCTTACAGAGTCCGGACATGAATATAATACCACCTGAAACACTGACTTAGCCAATGGTATGAACACTTTTAGTTCCTGGAATAAGCCCTTTCCAAACAAGCAATAGGATCTGCACCTTCTTCTGTCCGAGCACACTCTTGCAGAACTCTAGACATAGACACATGTGACAGCAGGGACAGCAGGCTTGTGGGGCAAATGTGGACAAAGGAGAAGCAGCACCTTGTACACGGGGAGTTGCTGGCTATACAAGGTGACCTGGACTCACGGAGTGTTATTTTAGCCCCAACCACCTAACTTCCCTTAGAGACAAATTAATGCACTGCCTCACGACCCATCTTCTCTCAGTGATGGCCACCCCCACAGTCTTTCCAAAGGCAACTGAAGCCATCATGGGGCCATCTGGCCCATATCACCTTCAAACAATACCTACAAACACATTTAAAAAAAAAACAAAACCCTCCAAAAACTGTGCCAGCCTCTCAGGCCTGCTCATTGGCGGGAGCGTCCTGTGACGTGGCTGTCAGGCCCACGAGCCCCTACCTTAGTCATCTGAAGGTTCTGCAGCTGCTGCTGCCAGGCAAGAACAGTCTCTAGACGGCAGACCCAGATATTGCTGTTCCCCACCAGCACAGACTTCCCGACCCCTCGGACAAGGATGCATAGGGTGGAGCTCAGGTCTTGGAGAAGATCTTTGATGAGGCGGGGGTTCTGGTGGTCATTGAGCACTGGGAAGGACAAAACACAAGACTGTGGATCTGTACAGGTCACCTCCCCTGTCTGTGGACATGCGATGGAATGGAGCGCTGCTCCGCCCCAATGCAGGTGAACCCAGGGGCGTGGTTTCGAGTGACGGGGGCATCATGAAGGGACAGACCTCATGTGGAGTCTGTCCTGAGACAAGGCTGGGTGGGTGCTGGGGAGGGGTGAGAGTTTGCCAGGATGTTCCGGAGGCAGATGGGGAGGGGGGGGGTCACACAACCATGAGAATGTACTTGAAGATGATTATGGTGGTGAATTCAGGTCATTCATGTATATTCGAGCACAATAAAACACAAGGACCTAAGTTCACCACAACCCCAAACTGGCATCATTTTTGAGATACCACAAACAAAATTTAGAAAAATACGAAAATATTGCCTAATAGCATAATTATGGTTGAGCCTACAATTGTGCCTTTAAAACTGTCAGTCTCTACTTCCTTTATACTTGTTATAAAGAGAATTGATATTTTAAAATGGCTTATACATAAAACCTAATTTTACATGGAAGCATAAACTCATGGTGTGAAATTTAACCATTTATTATTAACTAGTAGTTAACTAGTTAAAGACAAGTGTTAGATTAAAAATAAAGGTCCAGGCTTGTTTGATGCCGAAGCATCCACATCACAACCTTGCTGGTTATGGAAACATAAAGTAAGCATGACATGTAGCTGGTTACCTGTGACAAGGTGGACTCTCTCTGTCTCTAAGCTCAGGGATTCCCCCTGACAAGATGAACTATCTCTCTAGAACTCAAGGATTAATTATCTCCCATATTATGCTCCTTTGCGTGCAAATCAATCTTGAGGAAAGAAAATCAGGGGAATAGAACATGCAAAACTGCGGGACTGACCTGTACTCCAGTCGGGAAACTACTGCATTATTGGACATTATTGTTCTTGACAACATATATACTGATGAGTAATAAAGAGGAATACCATCTCCCATCTCCTTATCTAGGCGATTAAACAGATGAGTCAGCAGCTTACCTTTCTGGACGATTTTGTCCAAAATGTTGAAGTAATTCTTCTGGGCGACACCACTCAGCGAGGTCAGCTGGGATTTTGCAATGAGCTGCAGGAGCTTGAACAAATGGACAGGGAGGGAGAGGAAGTGCGTCAGCTGATGTGGAGGCAGGAGCCACTGCGACCCACAGCTGTCCTGGCTCCTCGCCTGTCACTGTCCTCGGAGCAGTGATTTCCGAGGGTGGACGTGAACTCGAGGGGCAGCTCCAAGGCGATTCACCTCAGGCAAGTTCTCCTGGATGTTGTCCTTACAGTTCGCTGGGCTCCACCTTTGGCTGCCACACAGCCCTCTCCCCTTTACACACTCTCTCCCTTTCGTTCTCCCTCATTTGCCCACTCCTGTCCCTCCATCCGTACTCACATTTCTCTGGCCCCTGGTGCGCCCACCGTCACCCCTCATGCCCACACCAACCCCGGTCCGATTCCCCCACCACCAGGGTCTGCCTACACAGTCTCACTCCCGCCACAGGCTCTCTGCCTCCCTCCAACTCCACTCTAAGGGACATGCTCCCTCCTGCACCTGTTCTGTGGGGCCCCACTCCTCACACCCTCGCTGCCACTGGGTTCACACAGGATTCTCCAGGAACCACAGCCAGGCCACCTCGTCGGCCGGCACTGGTGTCTGCTGGCAGCTCCCCTACCTGCCCCCCACCCCCAGGTCAGAACGCCTCTATTGACAGCTTCCTATACCATCTCTGCCCAATCTCAGCTGCTTCCCACAGGCCTGAACCAGCCTCGGAGTGTGTAAACATGTGTCTCCTGTCTCCTGGAACGTGGAATTTTCCACCCTCCAGTTCACCCTGCTGGTGTCCAGGGGGAGAAAGGAATCCAAGTAAGCCACTCAGGTGCAAAACGGATGTTACAAAGATGACAACTACGAGATCATCTCCAGGGGCAAATCATCCTCTGATCTCTAACATGGCTTACACACGTGTGCTCCACTGCAGTGATCACACACACACACACACACACACACACACACTGCAGGGCAGGGCTCACAGGTCCTGTCGGAAGAAACTAGATCCACCTGAGATGGTCCAGCCCCATGGCTTCTGCTCCTGATCTGATCACTACTGAGCATCTTCCTAGTCTGAACGTCCTCACAGCCAGCACCATGGGGCTGAATGACACCCACTTTCTCCTGCCTGAGTTTAGAACCACATTAGACAGAATTCAGGCCAACTGGGAGGAGGGGGCAGGCTCTGTTCCAGGAATTGCTGCACCAGTGACAGGTCTCCAGCCACAGTGGCCTCCCACACCTCAAGCTATGTCCCTGCAGACAACCTGCCAGTGCGGCCTCGCTAATGAACACAGGTTCCTGCTGCTACAACATGGGCCCTCGGAGACACAGACCACACCTGCAGACACAGGTCTCTGCTCCCCAGAGCGCAGGGGAAGGAAGAGGGGAGTGCCACAGGCCAGCAGTCAGTCCATGTCCCCAACCACCACGAGGCCTTCCGCGTCAGCCAGATTCCCAGGGTGCGTGACAAAGTGCTCCAGGGGCAGTTTGCCGGGTGCAGCCACAGCCACTAAGAGGCTCCCAAAGGTGCCATTGAAGGAGGCAAGATGGCAGACAAGTAGGGAGCTCTGTACATTTCACTCGCCCCCATCTCTCAAACAGAGAAGGCCCGAAGCCATAGGAAACCTTACAGAATCCAGAAGTTTGGGAGGAAAAGGAGACAGAGTCCGCTGAGAAAACCTTCTAGCGTGAGTGCGAACCGGGGAAGATAAAATCAGGCCAAACCGGAGACACAGAGGGAAGGGAGGGATCCCCCTTTGCGGGGAGCCACGGTGAATCTAGGGAAAGAAAAGAAATAGTGGCCGAAAGTGCACAAGACACTGTCCCTGTCATTGGAGAAGAGAAAAACCTCCGTTGGGGACACAAAGGGACCCAGTTTCCTACTGTCCAGCTGATCCTAGGCAGGACGCACTCGTCCCAGGCGACCCCGGGTGAAACTACTCCTCGCTCGCCAGCCTGACCTGTAGGGGACGGGAGCAGCGGCTTCCGGCTCGAATCCCAAGGGGAAGGCAAGAGGCTTGAAACTGCTCTGAGGGACTCGCCTGTGAGTTTATATTTCAGGCAATATCAATGGGGCGCGCGGACTGAGATCTGGAAACGAGGCCTGGCTTGGGATATAGAGCACAGCCCACCTTGGCTATGACACAGGCACAGGGAGATCACTCCCAAAAGACTGAGTTGCAATGCTTGGTTCAAGAAGGGACTGGGGTGCCTCCACTCTTCTCCCCACAACCAGCAAGGCAGGACTCCCACGGGACGCACTGGACCAAACCACGCCCATCCCAGCTAGAGAGCTGCCTCCCTCTTTTTTTTAACCAGAGCCAGGGCAAGACCAACACGGATGCCCTGCCCTGATTAATTCTGGTCACTGGCTTGCTTAAACAGTCACATTTAACCCATTCTGTAGATGTAAATTCTACACCTCCACCGCTACCTTTTTAGTTCTTTCTCTCTGGAGTAATCAGACAATATAGTTTCTCTGAGTAGCATTAACGTCATTTGTTTCGCCTCCTCTCCAAACATATTCCCCTCCTTCTCTCTTTGAAATAAGTCTCTTAGTATTTCTGCCTGCTCATTTCATTTACAATTTCACTTCTTCAATGCCCAGTCATTTCTCTTTGTATATGCTCTTCCATCAGCACTGCGTACACCAGGCTCTTTGTTTGTAGCTGGTTTTATGCTTTAGACTGTCCTTTGTATATTGGGTTTTTTTTTCTTTTCCCTTTTTTATGTATTTTTATTTTTACTATTTTTCTTCCCTCCTTCCTCTTTTACTTGTATATGTCCCTTTTTTTTCTTTTTCTTTTTCCCTTTCAATTTGCATGTTTGTTGGATTTGTCTGTGCATTTGTGTGATTTTTGTTCCCTGTGTTTGTCTGTTTTCTTTTCTAGGGCTACCTCAAGAAACAAGCCAAGGTACACATGGTGGAATGTCCCAAATACCACTATGAGTAGGAAAATAAAATAACCAAGGTCTCAACAAGAGAGACCAAGTGACACCATTCAAAGAACACTTCCTGAACGGACAGGCCCTGGACAAAGAGCCTTCTTTGGTACAGCAGCACTCACAGGTACAGAGTGCATAACAAGCTTTTAAAACTAACAAGAGATAGAAAGCTAACCAAAGTGACAAAACGAAAGAGCTCTCATCCAAAGAAATTCCAGGAAGAAATGACAGCTAAAGAACTGCTCAAAACAGATATAAGCAAAATAACTGAATAAGAGTTTAGAACAATAGTCATAAAATTAATCACTGGGCTTGAAAAAGGCATGGAGGACATCAGAGAAACTATTGCTACAAAGACTGTGGAGCTTAAAAATAGTTGTGATGAATTTTAAAATACTATAGATGAAATGCAAAATAAAATGGAGGTGTCCAATGCACAGATTGAGAAGCAGAAAGGAGAATAAATGATTCAGAAAACACAATTATAGAAAAAGAGGAAGCTGAGAAAAAGAGGAACATGAAAGGAGACTTTGAGAGCTCAGCAATACAATCGAATGGAATAATATCCCTATCCTAGGAATTCCAGAAGAGGAAGAGAGAGGGAAAGGCGCTGAGGAGTCTTTGAACAAATTATACCAGAGAACTTCCCCAATCTGGGGAAGGAAACAGACGTTGAAATCTAAGAGGCACAGAGAACTCCCCTCAGATGTAAATTGAATTGATCTTCTGCACAACATATCAGAGTGAAACTGGCAAAATATAAGGACAAAGAGAGAATTTTGAAAGCAGCTAGGGAGAAAAGGGCCATAACATACAAAGGGAAACCTATCAGAGTGGTGACAGACCTATCTACTGAAACTTGGCAGGCCAGAAAGGAATGGCAGGAGATCTTCAATGGGATGGACAGAAAAAATATGCAGCCAAGCATCCTCTATCCAGCAAGCCTGTCATTCAGAATAGAAGGAGAGATAAAAGTCTTTCCAAATAAACAAAAATGGTAAGAATTTGTCATCACTAAACCAGCCCTACAAGAAATCCTAAGGGGGACTCTATGAGGGAAATGTTTAAGGAACACAAGATATCAGAGACACCACCACAAGCATGAATCCCACAAAGGACATGATGACTCTAAACCCTTATTTTTCAATAATAACACTGAATATAAATGGACTAATGCCCCAATCAAAAGACTCAGGGTAGCAGAATGGATAAAAAAACAAAATCCATCTATTTGTTGTCTACAAGGCACTCATTTTAGACCTGAGGACACCTTCAGATTGAAATTAAGGGGATGGAAAAATATCTATCACGCTACTGGAAGTCAAAAGAAAGCTGGAGTAGCTATACTTATATCAGACAGGCTGGACTTTAAAGTAAAGACAGTAACAAGGGATGAAGAAGGGCATTATATAATAATTACAGGGTCTATCCATCAGGAAGAGCTAACAATTATAAATGTCTATGCACGGCTTATGGGAGCACCCAAATACATAAAACAATTAATCACAAACAGAAACAATGTTATGGATAAGAATGTGCTAATAGCAGGGGACTTTAATACTTGACTTACAGCAATGGATAGATCAACTAGACAGAAAATCACTATAGAAACAATGGACTTGAATGACACATTGGACCAGATGGCTTTAACAGATATATTTAGAACTCTACATCCTGAGGCTATGGATTCACTTTCTTCTCAAGTGTGCATGGCACATTCTCCAAGATAGATCACATACTGGGACATAAAGCAGCCCTCAATAAATATAACAGAATCAAGATCATACCATGCACACTTTCAGATCACAATGCTATGAAACTTGAAATCAGTCACAGGCAGAAGTCTGGAAAACCTCCAAAAACATGGAGGTTAAAGAACACCCTACTAAAGAACGAATAGGCAAATCAGGCAATTAGAGAAGAAATTAAAAACATATACATGCAAACAAATGAAAATGAAAATACAACAACCCAAACTCTATGGGATGTGGCAAAGGCAGTCCTAAGAGGAAAGTACACTGTATTCCAGGCCTATATCAAGAAATTAGAAAAAGCACAAGTCCAAAATCTAACAGTGCACCTAAAGGAACTAG